CCTGCCCGTGTGGGGAGGTCATTTCAGCTAGACGTGACAGGGGTCCATTAACGACAACTAAATCTCTCACTGTCCCCAGGTAGGGGAGCCAGCATGACGGGCTGCAGAACCAGCTGTCCCCTCCCAGCCCACCTGACCCTGTGGGGACACCTGGGAGCCAGGCCTAGGCCTTCTCTTATAGGGCCGTGCAATGCTAGGTGGGCACCCCTGGCTGGGCACACCGGGCCTTCCTGGCCCAGCCCCTGCAGGCTCCCTCCAGCCTCCCTGGGCTGGGGTGACCCCTGAGCCTCTCTGCCTCTTCCCTCCTCCGTCCTCTCTCAGGGAGGATAATGTCTAGGAGGGCCTGGTGAGCTGGGCCCTGTGCCCTCCGTGTGCAGGGCTGGAGCTCAGGACGCGGACTCTGGACACCGCTGGGCTCTGCCCACAGCCCCCAACACCCCGCGGCAGTGAGGGTCTTATCGGCAAGAGCCCCGACCCAAAAAATGGTGACAATAAAATGTCAAGAAAAAGCAAGTGTTTTCAGGTCCGGTCTGGGTGTCTGACCTCTGGTAACCCGGCCCCGGGGTTACTGCAGTTTCTCCCGGTGGCAGGTGCCCTCTGCCCCCTTATCCAATCTGGGGACGGCTGGCCTGAGGATGACACACTGGCAGGGAGCCGGCTGGCACCTGACACAGGCAGGGAGGGAGGGGGTGACTTCTGGGTGAGTTCACACCGTGCGGAGCACTGGGTGAGGGCTGGCGGGTAAAGAGCATGCCTGTCCCCCTGCAGGAGACGGGGAGGGTGGCCGCTGGGCAGAGGAGGGTGGGCACCAGGGCCCGGAGTCAGGGTAGGGGCTGGCACACACGGGTAGGGAATCCCAGTTCTGCACCTTACAGCCGTGCAAGGTGTCTAACTCTTTGGACTCCTGTCTTCTCATCCGTGGGGATGGAGGTGACCTTGGCCGGGCGGGGCTGTGAGGGTCAAAGAGACACCCTGCTGGGGTGTGGCGCTTTGGGCCCTGTGTCTGCCCTCAAGGAGACGGCCCCTGTCATCATGCTTAAGGTAGGGCCCTCTCTACACCAGCCCGTCCCGGGAGAAGGCTGGGGCCGCAGCCAGCTGTTGGGTAGGCCGTGTCCCTCAGCGCTCAGTGCTGGGCACCTGCTTTTGGGGCAGGCATCTGGGGGGACAACTTCCCCACAGGAGTGAAGACAGTGTCCCCGTGTCCCCAGAGAGCCATCGGCTGAGGGCTCAGCACCCAAGCAGAAGGGCCTCTCCGGTGCTGACAGCAATTTCACATCTAGAGATTCATTGTCCGAGAGCACCAAAGGCCCTGAGCTGGCCCGTGCTCCGGCTCCTCCTCATCCCCCCACACACTCCCACCCGGTGCCTTCTGGCTTGCTCTGCCTCTGTGGGTGCAGCTTTAACATTTCCTGGAGGCTCCCAATTCCAAACATTCTGTTTCTATATGGAGGCTGAGTAAAGGCCACGATTGTAGACATGGATCCAAACTCTCTTGGATTCGGCCCCTCCAGCATGGCACACGTTGAGTTTTTAATCTGTGTGTGCACCGGGGTGGCTGTGTCAGCAGCTGCCTTTCTCGGGCTTCGTTTCTAGCATTTGATGCTAGCGCCCGCTCTGCCCACCCCCCGTCCCGCCCCCTCATCTATCCAGCAGGCTCTGGGGAGCCCTGAGTCCCAGGCCACAGCCTGGCCGGCCAGCTCACCGTAGAAGTCGGCAGGGTTGCTGTAGCGAGGACAGGGGTGGCCGAGGGCGGTGAAGTAGGGGACCATGTGCTGGGCCGCCCCCAGGTAGACGGTGATGCCGGACGCCATCAGGAGGACCAGGTCAAACAGCCGGAAGATGTCGGAGCGAGGCTGGTGCAGGGAGATGAGCACCAGCCGGTTGCCCTTGGCCAGCCGGGACAGCGTCTTCACCAGGTTGTGGGCCGTGAAGCTGTCGAGCCCCGAGGTGGGCTCGTCCAGAATGAGGATTCCTTCCGGGGGAGAGAGGGGCCTGGTCAGCCTGTCTAGACCAGGCTAAGCCAGGCGGGCAACCCAGGCACCCACAGCCCTCACCTGGGTTCCACAGGAGCTGCACCCCGATGCTGACTCTCCGCCGCTCGCCCCCTGACACCCCCCGCACGTAGGTGTTGCCCACGCGCGTGTGGGCGCACTGCCGCAGCCGCAGCTCCGCGATCACGTCGTCCACCTGAGGACCAGAGGGGCGGGGCCCTGCTCAGGGCCAGACTATTCTGCTCCAGAGTATCGAGACACCTGCGTCTCTGGATGGGCTTAAAGCTCCGGCTTCGTTCCCCTGATACTCTGACTGCCCGTGCACGGATCTCGTGTGCTGGGAATGTGGCCGTGTCTTGGACACAAGGCAGTTGGACTCCCTGCCCCCATGGAGGACCACAAAGCAAACACCCATCACATGTTTTGGCACCTGCTGGGAAGGGAACCTCCTGGGCTGAGATGGCTCACAGAGGGCTCTGGGGCTATAAAGCCTGGTGAGGGGCGGGGCAGAGCCTACGATGGATGGATGGATGGGTGGATGAATGGATGGATGGATGGATGGGTGGGTGGGTGGGTGGGTGGATGGATGAATGGATAGATGGATGGATGGATGGAAAGATGATGGGTGGGTGGGTGGGTAGGTTGATGGATGGATGGGTGGGTGGGTGGGTAGGTTGATGGATGGATGCGTGGATGGGTGGATGGGTGGGTGCTGAGCTGGGTTGTTCAAGTGGCTGGGTCCTGAGGCAGGGAGGGGGGTGATGTCATGGTTTTTGGGGTCACAAAGTCAGTTACCCTTTTGTCACGTTGGGCCTGGGAGAAGGTTCTGGGCAGGCGCAGCTGGGCCACGAAAGCCAAGGTCTCGCGGACAGTCAGGTTGGGGAGCAGCTGGTCGTGCTGGCGCACGTGGGCCACCGACTTCCGCACCAGCTGGGGCGTGCTGGGCTGCCCGTTGATCCAGATCTGACCCGACTTAATTTTGCCACCGTGGCCTCGCCCGGTGATCACGTCCAGCAAAGAGGCTCTCCCACAACCTGCGAAGCCACCAGAGACATCCCTGAGATCACAGAGTCCGCGGGGCCAGCCTGGAGGCCATGGTGAGCCTGGGCTGTCTGTCCTCACAGAAAGGACTGGCCCTAGGCACTCAGCCCTGGATGGGGCAGCCCAGACTGGAACTCCCAGCCTTTGCCCACAGCCATCCGGAGCACAGCGATGCTGGCACAGGGATGCTGGGGGCTGAAGCCAGGTCTGCCAGGGGCCGAGTGGCAGGAGAAGGATGGAGTCGGGGCTGCCACAGGCCTGCCTGTGCCTGGAGTGTGTCCCCTCCATTGGAAGCAAGGCTGGTGTTAACTGCACAGTGAAGCTGAGCTATTGGGGGCTGGCAAATGTGCCAGTGGCATTTCACCATTCATCTCGTTTGGCTCGGAAGCTAGCTTTGTGGGAAGGACTAATTTGAAGAATTAATAGGGTGTTTTTTAAAAAATGTGAAAGCGAGTCTATTTTCAGAAGTAAGGGAGGGAAAAAAATAGAAAAGTAACAAATGTGGGAATGACTTTAAAATTACAGCATGGTGTACATGTGTGTTCTGAGTTCCTCTCCACCTTTTACCGGCTCTTATTTTAAAAATAAATTTTAATTGAGTTGAGAGAGAGAGAGAGAGAGAGAGAGAGAGAGAGAGAGAGAGATCAGTTTGTTGTTTCACTTAGTTATGCATTCATTGGTTGATTCTTATATGTACCCTGACCAGGGACCAAACTCATAACCTTGGGGTATTGAGATGATGCTCTAACCCATTGGGCTATCTGGCCAGAGCCTATATGCTCTTTTTTTTTTTTTAATCAGTGATACTATTTACTCTCCCTACAAAACAACAACAACAACATCAACAACAACAACAACAACAAAAACGCAACAAAACAATGATCCATTGCACACAAATGCATAACCACCCACTTCTGAATGACGTAGTGTTTGCTATCGCTGTGGGGATGAGCCAGATTGCAGCAGGATTCCGGATGCTCAAGGAGACTCTTTCTTTGACAGCCACTTAAACCGTGAAAGAGCCGAAACCGGTTTGGCTCAATGGATAGAGCATCAGCTTGGGGACTGAAGGGTCCCGGGTTCGATTCCGGTCAAGGGCATGTACCTTGGTTGCGGGCACATCTCCGGTAGGGGGTGTGCAAGAGGCAGCTGATCGATGACTCTCTGGTCGATGTTTCTAACTCGCTATCTCTCTCCCTTCCTCTCTGTACAAAATCAATAAAATATATTTTTTAAAAATAAATAAATAAACCGTGAAAGAGAACTGGGCTCAGGATCTGAGAGCACCTTCATGGGACAGAGCTGGGAAGAGCCTGCCCACTTCCCCCAGGAGGGAACCTGTCTACAAATCCCTTTTAGCAAGCAAATCTTCCAAGCTGTTTCCAAACAAGGAAGGTGCCAATGCACATCAGGTAGCAAGTCTCCTGCAGGCAGCCCCCTGGCCTCTGTGCAAAAAAATGAAAATCAAGAAGCTTCCCAGGGCTCTTTCTGCATAGGGACCACAGGTTTTCAGAGTAGAGGGTAGCAGGAGGAGGGCTCCTGTAGCGAGCTGTACAAAAGTTCCCGAACCTGCTGGGCCCCATGCTCTCTGAGGAACCTTCTGATGTCTCCCCACAGGTGGACGTGGGAGAAGAGAGAATCATTGATGTGAGAGAGATATGCTACCTCCTGGGTGCACCTCTCTCAGGGTCCCTGAGAACTGAGGTGGAGCCTCATGGCCAGGAGAGAAGCGAGAGAGGTGGGCTCTGGCCCTGTGCCCTGCTCAGCCTTGGACAGCCTGTGCCCTGCTCAGGGCTCTGGGAGCACAGGGGACTTTGCCAACATTTGCAGGGACCATGGATTTTCAGTTAGGAGGGGAAAGGCCACGTTTCCTAAACAAGACTTTGTGAGTATTAGGTCACCTCTGACTCCCCGTCTTTGGGGGCTGGTGCCATTTTGGGGCTCAGCGCATCTGGGTTTCCAGATGACCTAATACATTCACAATTTTTTACCCATTTTGGCCTTGTGTGTTCCTCCTTCAACCACCCTACCAGTGAGAGCAGTGGGTGCCTTTCCAGCATTGGTACGACTGGGGAGACCCTCCTGAACCAGGAGCAAACACTTGCATTTGAGATCTCTGGAGCAGTAAGTTCATTTATAGGAGAGCACCTTTGGCACTGCTGAGTCCATAGGAAAAGCTAAAATGCCTGGGCTGTTTTATTTTTTTAAATTAGAACTAGAAACTGATAAACAAAATAGATCCAGACACATAGAAGCATGGAACAGACTGTCTAATCTCCGAGGGAATGGGTAGGTGGGTGGGAAGAGATTAAGCAAAGAACTTGCATGCATATATGCATAATCCATGGACATAGACAGGAAGGCTTGGGGCGGGGGGGTGGGGGGGATCGGCTAGAAGGAGTCAGTGGGGGAAAGAGAGACATATGTAATACTTTCAACAATAAAGATTGAAGAAAACTATAACCATATTATATAAATAGACTTATTTTGTGTAAGTGGAATAAATGTCACAAGTATTATTGATAAGCCTTTCTAAGAAATCATCTTAATAATTTCTGCCAAGCAAACCCGAAACTAAACCCACTGAACCTATCCTGTGATCAAAGGATCTGCTCAGCGTAGCATCTCCCAACCAGGGATGCTGACAGCTGCCAGGCTCTGGGCAGCGAGATGGCCCGGTAACAGCCTATGTGTCTCCAAGATTGTTAATTCTTGAAGGAAAAGCAGATAAAACAAGAAGAGCCACCAGGGGTTCGAAACCAAAACAAAGCTGGCCTATGAAGTACCTACTTTTTTTCCTATTTAGGTCACAGTTTCAGGGTCGGGGCCACGAGCAGTTAGGCTATGACCTGTGTGTGTGTGTGTGTGTGGGGGGGGTGTTCCAGTGACAAAGTACACTTACACACATTTGATCTTTGGTTAGACAATAAACAGAACTTCCCTATCTGAAGATTGTAAAAATTTGGAGCAGATGTTTAAAAAGTTGAGTAATCTGTACTTCTGGTAATGATTAATGAGAAGGCATAAAGTGCTGTCTCTAACACGATGTAAGGGAGACATTATTTTATCTGAGATTATAATCAGGAGACCAAAGTTCTAGTTCTAGGTCTGCATGAAATGTATGTTCTTTGTGTGTGTGTGTGTGTGTGTGTGTGTGTGTGTGTGTGTGAGAGAGAGAGAGAGAGAGAGAGAGAGAGAAGGCCGGGGGAAGACATTCTAGAAATATGGAGGGCTAGATAATTTGAAAACCCTCTTGTAAAGATGCTTCCAAACAGGTAAGGAGAAAGAAAGGTAGAAGAAGACAATGATGAGAGTGGATTCTGTTCTTCGAGGCCCCTTCAGCCCCGCCTTCAGAGATGCCAATTCTGGCACATGGAAGTGACTGTTAGAGGCACTGCAAGCATCTGGAGCTGTGCAGAGGGTTGAAACTTGGGCCCAGACTTGGAGGGGCTGTGTCTACCCACTGTCTGACCGTAACCAGAATCCGATTGCAGGGGAGCAATGAATGCTCTTTGGGTGGAGAAGCCCCCTGAAAAGAACATTCCATTCTGAAGCTGCGTGAGGATCCTGGAGAGGTTTTTGACTTGGTCTCAATCACAGGTGTTATGGCTGCAGCTTCAAATGGCTCAGTCCTGATTCCACACCAAGGATTCTCAGCAACTGCCCGAGAGCTGCGAAGTGGAGCAGCAGAGATCTGAACCTGGCCTGTTGACCCCAGAACCTGTGCTCTCAAGCACTCAGCTAGAGGACTCTCATAGTCCGGGAAGGGTTCTGTGGGAGCATACACTTGTCCAAGGGACCATCCTGCATCCCACGGCCCCACCGCCTGCCCTTCGCGGTACCTGAGCTCCCTATGATGGCCAGCATCTGCCCGCTCCTCACTTTGAAGCTCAGGTTCTGGATGCCCAGCTCACAGGAGTCCTTATGAGAGGCCCAAGGCATCTTAAACTGAGCCAGCTGCTCAAACCAAGGCACCTGGGAGGCCATGTCCACCTGTGGGGAGACACCAAGAGGTTCCTCAGAGAGCTGGGGGCTCAGCAGCCTCGGGAGCTTCTGTTCGGCTCACTCCAGGAGCCCTCCTCCGGCTGATACACCAGGCCGGAGGGGCTCCCCCGCAAGCTCTACCAGGCACGGAGGCGAGCCCACCATCCTGAGAGCCTGGAGCTGTCTGACGATAACACCTGGGGAACGTGTGTCATAGCAGAACAGAAATAAAAACACCTCAAGTAAAACGATGCCTTCACTCAATAATAACAGGAATTGACCGAATGTTTGCTATGTGCAAGGCATTGTATTAAGCGATCTACACTCATTATCTCATGCAGTCTTCATTGCAAGCCTATTACATAGGTGTGATTCAAATTCCTGTTTTAATAAAGCTCAGGGCAGGCAGTAGCTTGCTCATGGTCACATAGCTAGCAACTGGCAGTGCAGAGGGAAGTGATGGCATGGCTCATCCCAACTCACCTCCATGGGAAGCCAGATTTGAGGCTCCATCCCAGGCCCCATCCTATTCCAACTGGGCCCCTCGGGGTCTGCCCCTGGGGAAGTGTGGGAAAGGCACTTGCACTCCGAATGTTTTATTTAGCTCCAGGGACAGGACATTTAGAAAAGATTCAAAAAGTGGAAAAAAAAAATCTACACAAAGTCTGTAGTTTAGTTCCTAGTCTCATACCCCTGTAATACCTTCGTTTGGATCACTGTGCTACGGACTGCAGGTCAGCAAGCTGTTCACGTCGGGGAAAGTGGGACAAAGGGTAATGGGAACGCTGCAACATTTTTGCAACTTTTTCAAAAGTCTAAACTTGTTTCAAAATATAAAGTTAATAAAGCATCCAGAGGCTCTAGAGATCTTTCTCCCCTACAGGCTCACAGTTTGCTTCCTGCTTTAACACAGGCCTCTGCTTATGCCTGAAAACCCCAGGGCCATGGAAGGGGCCTCTGTGGGGCTTGCACCCATCCTGCCAGACCACTTAGGAGACTGTTTGGCCTTCTCTGCCCGCTCTCCCCACCTTGTTCTTAGGTGTGCCTCTACCTGGTAGCTGAGGCCCTGGACCTCCAAGGTGTTGGACGGGCCACTGTAGGTGAAGTACAGGCTGTTGTCACTTTCAGAGGAGAACAAGCTGTCCTGGAGGCCCTGCAGGGAGACATGACCAGGTGAGGGGATCTTTCAGAAGCTGCTGAGGACACAGGATAAGCTGAGGGGGAGACCTGGCAGGTGAGAGCAGCAGCTAGTGTGGCTGGGATCCGAATTGGCAAGGCATGGGTCGGGCCAGGTGGACCCAAGGGCTGTGAGACAATGGGGCCTCGATGAGGGCACATCTCCTCTTCCCGCAGAGAGAGCTTTAGGACCCCTTTCCCTTTACTAATCCCCCCACCCCACCGGTCCAGTTCCTGGCCCCAGAGACCTCAACTGCAAGGCTGGTGGGCCGTGAACCCAAGCAGCCCATGGAGGATGAGAACCGGTCTCTGGACTGGAGGGAGTTGTGAGCCTCTGTGCTCAGGGAAGACCTGAGCTGGGAACTGTCCTTTGACTTGCTCTTCCCCGCATCAGACTTAGTATCTCCTAATGTCAACAGGCTTCACATACCAGCATGTGAGAGGAAAAGCGCTAGTCCGCAAGCCAATGCTCCAAGTTTATGAGGACACCATCCTTCGGAAAGTTGCATTTTATTTTGATGAGGAGTTTTGCACAACAAAGCTACTGCAAAGGCTGTTGGGAGATTCAAAGGAAGTCCCTTTCTCCTCCTGCTGCTCCTCCTGCTCCTCCTTCGTCTTGTTGCTATTTTTGCTGGAGTGGTGCTGTATGTGAACGTCCATCAAATCGATGTTTTGTGGTATCAGCTGATACCTTTGAATGGTACTGACCATCTGCAGATCTGAATTCCTTCTCTTTTATCAATTCAATTATATAATCCCTGCAACCTAGAAAAAAACCCTGCCTAGTAAAGTTTCTGGTTTTTTTTTTGTTGTTTGTTTTGTTTTGTTTTGTTTTTTTCATGCATTCCAGTTTCCCTCCATTCTGTAGCACAGGGGAAAGTACATATTCGCTAATGAGTTCCAGCTGCCTCTGGTCTGCCCTCACAGGGGCCAGTCGCACGCTGATGCATTCCTGCAGTCAATCAATCAAGCATCCAACAAACGCATATTGGGAGCCCACGGCACGTTTCTGGCACAGAGTTTGGGATGTGACCGTGGGATAGACGGTCTTTGAGAAGCTTAGACGTTAGCCGGAGGGACAGGTGATTAGGATGGAGCCAGTCAGGGTGTATTTTCCCTGTGTATACAAGGTGCTGTGTGGGAAAATAGCATGATGATGGTTTCTGTGAAAATAACACCAGCCAGTCTTTGTCAAAGCCTCGCTGCGATGGTGGGGGTGAGAGGTATATTCCAGAGCAATGAGTGGAAGGTGATGAGTTCAGGTGACAGTCAGCGGCAGGCCCACTGCGAGTGGCCCACAGATTTCTGGGAGAGTCTGGAAACAGCAGACCATGGTCCCTCAGCTTGTTCATTGTTAGAACTAATACCATGAAGATCCTAAGTGATACAGGGAAACGTGGGAAAGATAAACAGCGCGTTCGGCAGAAGCGCTATCTTTGGGGAACAGAACTGAGGGGGATGTAGAAGGGAGGAGGGTAAAGGGAGTTCGGGGTCCGGGTTCCTGGAGAGAATATGAGGGCTCACTATTCTTCCAGCTGAACTGTCTGAAATATTTCAAAATATGTTTTCAAATTGAGAGAGCTGGCCAGCGAGTTGGACTCCAGATTTCTACTCCTACCTCGACCTCTAACTGCTAATGCATCTAAGACATGGATGGAGGTGGAGGAAGTGAGAGGGTCTGCACCCTCAGAGGCAGAGAATGAAGCTCCTGGGAAGGCCAAGAGCAGATCAGAAGGCTGCTGGATCCCGGCCCTACCACCTCCACCACCAGCATTTGCAGTGCCCAGCTTTACCATTTACTTTTGTTACCTTACTAGAGATTCTACGGGCTAATAAGCATCCTGTCTGTTTGCTTTTTTTTAAACAGCAAATATCTGCAGGAAGGAAGGTAGTCAATGGGTATAAGACATGAGTTAGCTGAGAAATTGCTTCTGCAAACAAACATCTGGCTGTCCCCAGGTTAGATTTCCGGGGGAGGGGCTGCTGAGAAAGGAAACTTGGACAGTTTGGAATCTGGAGGTGATCTCAAGCCAGGGAGGAGGGGAGGTCTCCACTTTCCAGTTAGGAAGGTGCTCCGAGAAGGTGAGGGTGCTGGGGCTCAGAGGAAAGAGCATCCCCTGTGCCCTGGACCGCCTGGGGCAGCCCAGACCCCAACCCCCCTCAGGGGACTGTGCCTTTGGGAGCAGCATGGGCAGCTCAGCTTTCCGAAGAAGAGAATCTGTGGCCTCTGTCCCATTTGAAGTATTTTCCTTGGCTCCCAGGAAGGATTTGTGAGACTCTTCCTGAGGTTTTGACAAACGCGCTGTATTTTTCAAATACTTAAATATCTACTTGGCTGACATCTTAATCAGTACGACTGTCAGAACATCACTTGAATTTCTGACAGGTGACACCCAAAAAGCAAAAGCGGGTTTATTTGTAGGTAACCAGCTTGGCTCCTGCTGGGCTACACTGTAATTTCTCCTTCTATTAACTTCTGATCGAACTCCTCAGTCGGAGCACAGAGAGGAAGGAGACTGGGAGCACAGAGCACAGGGTCCTTGTCCTGAGATGAGGAGCCCGTGACCTGGACAAGCTGCTGCTGGGTACACACACGGGCTTTGTTCTTGGCGGAGGGGACCAGCCGGGCCCTTTTGTACAATGTCCCGCTCAGGCCTCACACAGCTCTGCCCGGAGGCCTGGGCCCCTCTCACTCTCCTCTGGTCAGGATCCTGCCCTCGGATTGAGGCGTCTGTGGCTGAGGACCCTGGCCAACCCGCGTACCAGGGCCCCAGAATTCCCTGTGTGAATGACCGCAAGTGCACTCTCAGGGCCGGTGTGGACCTTGCCCAGGCCCCTCCTCCTGACATACAGTACTGCCCAACTGGCCAACCTGGCCACGGGGGCATCTGTCTGTGGAGAGTGTTTCTGGAATGGGTGTGGGCAGGGTGGGTGTGTGAGGTCACGTGTGGAGCTGGGATGGGCAGAGGAGGCAGACAGGCTGTGGGTTGGGTTGGAAGCTGGGTTCCCTGTGCCAGTACATTCTAATTGTTCCTCCAAGAAGTCTTAGAATTTTTATTTTATTTTTAATTGATTGATTTTTAAAGAGAGAGAAAGTGGGGGGGGGCGAGGAGGAAGGGAGACAGAGGGAAAGAAGGGGAGGGAGGGAGGGAGGGAGAGATTTGATGCATTCCTTGATTGATTCTTGTATGTGTCTTGACTGGGGATCGAACCAGAAACCTTGGCTCATCGGGATGATGCTCCAACCAAATGAGCCCCCTGGCCAGGGCTGAAGTCCTAGAAGTTTTAAATTTGCACCCGGCATTCCAGGTTGTGGAGAAGGTCCATGAAGGTACGAGGATAGAAACTATTTTTTTATTTAATAATAGTTTTTAGCTTAACAACTTTAAAATGTCTAGACGTAGGATATGTAGCCCTCATCTCCTGGTTCTCTTGGCACCTGGAGTGACAGCACGGAGAAAAGAGAATGGGAACCACAGATTCCTGCCCGCACTCCCGGAGGCCGGCTTCCTGAGCCATGGTGGCTGCACTGTCAGACCGTCAGCCACCTCCGCAGTCTGGATCCTGGTCAGGCTGTGAGCCTGGCAGTCACGGTTCCTGGGAGTCATTTCCTGTTGAGCTCAGCCCCGTGGGTATTCCCAGAGCAGAGCAGGTCATCTGCAGTGGCAGCGAGCTCACCAGAATGGTGGGCCCCCGTGGGCCTGGCTCAGGTCAGCAACTCAAGACTGTGGCCTTCCCCTTGGCGTGCGGCGTGCTCAGTGACTCCCCTCTCTCCCCCTCGTCCCCAGAGCAGGCAGACACAGAAAGGGAGGGCGGGGTGAGGCAAGGGTGGAGGGTGGGGATGGGTATCCTTTCAGCCTTCCCAGTCAGCTTCCAGCTTCAGAGCCTGCCCACGCCCCGATGTTAGTCAAAGGCCATTTCTCAAGTCAGCGTTTCTTATGTGGGCCACAGCCTCTCGGCCCCCGGCTGTCGCCTGTCCCTCCCAGCTCTCTCTGGGGTAGCACGGCTGCCTGCTGTAGCCGCATTCTGAGCATAAATCCGGATGTTCCCGCAGACGTCACCTGCCACCCGGTCTCCTGGGTTTACTGCTGCAGGGATTCCCAGCTCCACTCCCAGGAAATGGGGTGCAGCTGCCTCGGCCTCCCTCCACTCACTATCACTTGTGGACAGAAGGTTCCCGAGGGAGGAGAATAAGGCCCAGCTCACCCCCACCCAGCAGGACGGAGGTGACGCCCCATCACTCACCGAGGCATCCTGGGGAGCAGCCCTGGTCCGCAGCCCTCTGTCCTCTGGGGCCGTCTCAGCCATGGGGCCCGGCAGCGTCGGCGGCCTCCCTGGCTGCGATTCCTGGGGACCTTAGCGGCCACCTGCCAGTGCCGCCGTTTCTCTCTGTCCCGCAGCTGAGCAACCTCTGGCCCTCGCTGTCTGTCTCCCAGCATGCCTCTCTGGCCAGCCTTCCCACAAGCACAGCATGTGGGTGTCCTGCCCACCGCCAAGATAACACAGGACTCTGGCTAAAGGTACATCAGATAATGCCGCCGTGGCCAAGCCCCTTCCCGCCGCGGGGCAGGCCGAGCCAGGGACGCGGGGCCAGGTGAGGAGCCGGCGGGCCGTCAGCTGCTGGCTCCTCCGCCCAGGCCACTCCGGGAGGTCAGGCCCCAGAAAACCCTCCGTCTCCGCTGCCTGGTGACCATGAGTGAGCTCCCGGCCTTGACCCCCGTGGGGGCCTCAGGACTCCAGCTAAGCAAAGGCCCCGGGGGCTCCTCGGAGGAGGTCCCTGCGGCTGCGTCAAAGCCTCGGCACAGCCTGGGCGTCTTCCATGCCTCCTACAGCGTCAGGTAAGGCGGGCATGGTCCGCTCACCCCTCTGCTGGCCTCTCGCTAATGGGGGGCATGTTTGGGGGCTTGGGCTCCCTCCTCAGTGGATCGAGGTGGAGAGAAGGGAGGGAAGGGCTGCCGGGTGATAAAGGAGGAACGAGGGAGCACGGCCCCTCCTCCTGCCAACAGGACCTGGCAGCTATGCCAGACACACGGCAGCTGTGCCCTGCCTAGTGCCCTTGTGCCCCTGTCCCTCTTGCCGGCTCCCATGTGTCCCCCTTGTGTACAACCTGTTGGATGTGGATGGAGAGGGCTTGGGGATTGGGGGTGCTTGCAACAGGAGGTGCAATGAAGACTGGTGAGAAAAGGCAGGGTCAGCCGAAGGGATAAGCAGCGTGCTGCCTGCCACCTCCCAGCCCGGCCAGAGAGCCGGAGCGCAGAGCAGCTGCCAGCCAGTGCTTTCCAGAGGGGATCCTTGACTGCCACTTGCCAGGGTCCGCAGAGGAGGACACTGAGGCTGACGCACCCTTAGCACCGTGTCCAGACATCACCGGCATCATGGTGGGGGACAGTGTGGCCCCTTCCAAGGCCCCACTCTGCTTCCCCTTTAAAGCTATCGCGTCGGGCCCTGGTGGGACATCGCATCTCGCCGGCAGCGGTGGAACAGGCAGATCCTCAAAGACGTCTCCTTGTACGTGGAGAGCGGGCAGATCATGTGCATCTTGGGGAGCTCAGGTAAGCGTGAGGGCGAGGAGCACTCTCAACTCTCACTGAGGATTCAGGGAAGGCTGCGTGGCTTGACTTGACCACCACCTTGAGGAAACAGGCTTAAGTTGTAGCAGAGTTCCTAACAAGTGTGATATTGGAATGAAATCTAGTGACATGTCTGACTGTGAATGCAAGCGACCTGGTACTCATGTGAGATATTTAGACAGATCCTTGGGAAAAGTCCTGCCTAACATGTAGGTTCATTCATATTTCTTTTCTTTTCTTTTTTTTTAATGTATTTTTATTGACCTCAGAGAGGAAGGGAGAGGGAGAGAGAGATAGAAACATTAATGATGAGAGAGCATTATTGATCTGCTGCCTCCTGCATGCCCTCACCTGGGATTGAGCCTGCAACCCAGGCATGTGCCCTGACTGGGAATGGAACTATGACCTCCTGGTTCATAGGTTGACGCCCAACCACTGAGCCACACCAGCTGGGCTAACTTTCCTTTTAATAATTATAACATACTTCTTTAGAAAGAACAAAAGCTGTTATTTCTATAATTACTTGTCGCTTGTTGCCTCCCTGGTGTAGGATAAAAGTGGGCTACATGCAGCACACAGCCGGGAATTGAACCCACCTTCTCAGAGGTGTGTCCCATAGGCCAATATGATGGCTCATGCACATCTCAGGGGGACAGTGGGTGGGATTCTAGGTCTGGGGATTAAGGGCTGGTTTCTAATGACACCTATTTGTGGTGTTACGACAGTTTCCATCCTCTTAGGCTGAGCATGGATTCTCAATAGGCGCAGGAATGGGAGGTCTCTCCCTCTCTTCCTGCTCTCTCTTCAATGACTAGAACAGGGCTGGGCCCAGAGTAAGTGCTTCATAAATATTTGCTGACTGAATAAATAAGCAAATGAATCCATGTTATGAATTACTCTTCGTGTTTCATAAAATGATATGATCTCATTATCTAAAGCAGCATTATTTATTAGATCTTTATTACTGAGGCACAAGATGGCTTTGGCTCACTAAAGAATGGTCAAGTACAAGTTTGCCTCGGGTCCCCCAACGCTCCAGGGAAAGGAACTCCATTTCACTCGTTATTTGCTATCGATTAGGACGTAGATTCTGTGCTGCATGTTCCCTCGAAGCAGACTAGTTACAAACGATTTCTGTCCTCTTAGACAAGATAACCCCAAAGGTCATGGTTTTATTGTCCTGTATGGCATTAACCTTTTTGGGGGGTTTTGCCCCTTTTTTATTGTAATAAAATATACATAATGAAAAATGGCACATCCTAATCATTTTTAAGTGCCTAGGTCAGTGGGATCAAATATCTAGGGTGTCCCCCCAAAAATGTAACACACACTTTGAATAACTAGAAAGGCAGCGTTTATTAAAATACACGTATTTCTCAGAATTGAGCTATCCGCTGTTAGTGTTTACATTTTTGGGGACATCCTGTGTTCGCAGTATTGTGCAACATACGGGGAAATGCCCGCTGTGTTTGGCAACAAGCAAGTCGCCTTGATGACGGACCGCAGGGAGGCCGGCTTTGATGTAGTGATGGGACTGGCATCCAGGATCCTGGACACTCAGAGCTTCTGTCAGAACTGAGATTGGGCCCCAGAACTGTAAGGCCAGGCAGGCTTCCAGCTAGAGATGCACATGCAAGGCCAGTCAGGTGACTGGGACATTTCAGAGCACCTTATTGGACCTTGGAAGACAGCCCCTATGAAGTCACCTTTGTTTCTTTGCAATCTCTCTCCTCTCTCCCCACATTAACCTCTACCCAAATTCTGAGCTGGGTCAGTCCTTGGGTAGAAAAGAGGATGACTCTACGGGAGTGTGGCTTCTTCATCTTTGTACCCCTCCTCCCCCCAAAGCAACAAGCAGTTTCCTTACAAATATTTGAACAAAAGATCTTCTCCTTAGGGTTGTACAGGCCACCCCATTCAGGCAACTTGTCCACTCTAGCTCTTGGTGGGCAAGTTCTGAGCAACAGCCTGCTGGGTTAGGCCCGAGGCTGAGGCCAGCAGGGTTTCATCAGAGAACTCACTATCTTAGTGCTTTTCACACGCTAACATGCCTGGGATGTACCCAGGGATCTTGTGTTAAAAAGCAGCACCTGAGTCAGCGGCTGTGGGCGGGGCCTGAGAGCCCGCACGTCTAACGAGTGCCCAGGTGATGCTGATGTGGCCGGTCCTCAGGACACCCTGGATTAGCGGGGTTCCAGGCAGTGTCCCCTACTTTTAGAGGCCACCTGACGATCCCAGGGGGCCACAAAAAGAAATCCAGATAGCTTAGGACCAAATGTTTCAACAACAACAACAACAACAACAACAACAAAAAACAACAACCTGGTTTTCCTTTTACTTTGAACGTACGTTGTCTTTTTCAATGCGAACCGGCTTTAAAAGCAAACACACAGGAAAGACCAGGATGAGAGAAGTGGCTGTGCCTCCTGCCACTCAGGCGACAAGCAGCACAAGCTCATTCGCGCCACCAGAATTTTGCTCAGGAGAGAACAAGTCAGGGTGGACCCTGGCTGGCCCGCCGAGGCCTTGGGGAGCCCCTGGCTGCCTGGGGCGGGTTCCCCCAGGGCCTCCTCTGCTCGCCCGCAGGCTCCGGGAAGACCACGCTGCTGGACGCCGTGTCGGGGCGGCTGCGGCGCCGGGGGACCCTGCTCGGGGAGGTGTGCGTGAACGGCCGGGCGCTGCGCAGGGACCAGTTCCAGGACTGCTTCTCCTATGTCCTGCAGGTGGGCACGCACCCCCCTCCCCTCCCCCGGCCCGGGCCCCGGGGTGCGGCCGCGCTGACCCTCCTCTCCCGATGCCTCCTCCCCGCAGAGCGACACGCTGCTGAGCAGCCTCACGGTGCGGGAGACGCTGCGCTACACGGCGCTGCTGGCCATCCGCGGGGCCTCCCGGGCCTTCGTCCAGAAGAAGGTGGGTGCCACCCAGCCGCCTGCCCGGCAGCCCAGGGCTTCCCAGGCCCCCCAGCAGGGGCACCGAGGGGCTCACCCCCACTGGCTTTGCACCAACTCTTTCCTCCATTCCCCACTCTTCCCTCGTCACAGCCTTTCTTTCTGAATCTATAGACCTGCACTGCCCAGTGTGGCAGCCGCTGGTCCCACGTGGCTTTGAGCACATGAAATGTGACAGGTCCTAATGGAGGTGTGGGGTGAGTGTGCCATACACAATGAATTTTTAAAAACAGTCTGAGAGGGGAAAAAAAAAAAAAACAAAAAAAAACCAACCTAGAACACACTGGTTTATTCATGGCATGTTTAACCTCCCCCTACTGCTTTGTATCTGTTTAGATGTGTCCCTCCTTTTGGTCAAAGCTGCGTCTGCGCTGTTGTTCCCACCCCTGTGTCCTCTGGAACACCGTTCCCTAACTCACCCCCTTTTACTGCAATCTAGTGTGTGTGTTTTTTAATGTATATTTTATTGATTTTTTTACAGAAAGGAGGAGAGAGGGATGGAGAGCTAGAAACATAGATGAGAGAGGAACACCGACTAGCTGCCTCCTGCACACCCCCACTGGGGATGTGCCCACAACCTAGGCACATGCCCTTGACTGGAGTCGAACCTGGGACCTCCCCAGTCCATAGACCATCGCTCTATCCACTGAGCAAAACCACTTTCGGCTTGTTTGTTTCTTTAACGCAGTGCTTTCTTTTTTCGTTGTCTCATTAGAGCTATAGGGGAACAAATCTCACTGCCATATAAATCGCTGTTCTCAGTTCATTCTTTCTGCTTTGCCCTCCGAGG